CGGTTTGTGCCAAACTGCAATTCCTGCCTCAGCAAACACTGTATTACTAGTGAGGCAACACACATTCATGCTGTTCGTCAAATTTTTTATTCACAGGGTTGGCTAAACCTAGAAATGCATCAGGATGTGCTTGAAATACAATGTTCAGAAGGTAGCATTTTTAGCTGAAGAATAATGCAAACGTTGCAGTTTTTTAGAAGCAGGCTCGGCAGAACAACCCCTTGAAGGCATATATACAGTATGATGAGTGCTGTATGAAACATTCCGCAATTTGAAAAAGACCGAAAATCACTCGCAAACCAACATTGTGTAGGGTTGCAATAATCTTTATCATGCAGTCCAATTTCAATTATTTTCAGTCACGCTAGGATGCCGACTCCGTGATGAGTTTTCTTGGACCACTGCGAAAAAGTTGATTCTGCAAAAAATGGCTACTTAAATATTATGCATTTTTTATCATTCATTTTGACTGCCTCTGTAAATTCAAATATATTTTATGGAAGGTATGCACGAAAAATAATCCTCTCTTGGACCTATTTGATAGGAAATTACGCCTTTTTAAAATTTTATTCTTAAAGAAAGTGTTTCCTTCGGTTTAAAAAACTTTCGAATTGTAATTTTTTTACGACTGTGCACTGTTCATTCATAATACATCGTATGCTTCAATTTGTTAATGCTGCCACTGATATATATAGCATGATCCCTGTCTATTTCAAAATTCCATGAGAGCTATACAACGACTTCTTCAAACCGTAGGCAAGAACGTACTTTTCCTTAAACGGGATGAACACAGCATTCAGTTTGTAAAACTTGAATTCAGGTGTAGCAGTCGGTAGGTTTCAAAATCATTCGGCGATTTCGAAACATTTTTAAAACCGAAGGAAACCCTCCTTTAAGAATAAAATTTAAAGAGGGCGTAATATTCTATCAAACACAGGGAGTCCCAAAAAATGTATACATATTTTGAACAATTGTAACTTTGAGGTTTATTATAATTTTATAATTTTAAAAATGCGAAAGTATTAAGAAGTATCATTGTATTGTTAATCCACTGAACTTTTAC